GTCGCTGCCGGCCCCGCCCCCGCCGCTGGCTCACCGGTCCCGACGGCCGGCGGTCCCACAGATGACGTTCAGGTTCTCAAAGCGGATGCTGCTCACGCGCCCGCTCTCCATGGCCCCGGGTAACTCGGCCTCCAGCGCCTCCAGCACCTCCAGGTGGGTAAAATCCTCCTCGGGCTGGGGGTGTCGGAGGAAGAGCCTCAGCTCGTGACGCCCCGGTTCAAGCCGGGTCGGAAGTCACATCTCTAGATCCCACCTGCAGGACCCGCCGGAGTCCCAGGTGCCACTTAAGGGGCAGGGGCCGCACTTGATCCCAGGGTTCTGTCGCTCTTGTCAAAGGCGGACGATAGGTTAACTCTCAGGCGGGAAACCATCCACCGTCATTCTAGGTCATCCTCCCAAAAATCAATTCTCACCAAGCCGATTTGCCAAAAGCCAGTAAATGGCTGGCTGAATGATTCGCCGATTTGGCCACCTTTGTAAATCTACCAAAAACTTCTCCAGCAGCCTGCGATGGGTAGGACCGAAAACCCTGGAAGATTTCTGCCAGGATTTAAGTTGCACACTTTCTTTTGTATCTTCCTAACAGCATTTTAAGGATGCTCCATGGTCAAAAAATAAAGATCATGGGGAGTTTTGACGTCAATCTATTTAACATTCAGAAACATACACTGATCACCACATTTTCAGCTCGAGATTACCATGTCGAAGGTGACTCGCAGTTGTCCTAGCATAGCACATTGCTGAGAAACTAAAATGAAATCATGATCACCTCCAGAAGGGCATGCCTTTCTTGGGGTGAGGGGGGAGGCTGCAGGGTCCCCAGCTCCCCGGCTCAAAGTCACAAAGAAGAGGAGTGGTGGGATGGGGGTTGATCCCTAAAACGAGGACAGCAGGCCCTGTGGCAAGGGGAAGTCACACATTAGCTGAGAGGGCACCTCGGAGGCCTGTGCCTGGCACACAGCAAGCTCTTCTCAATTAATTGAGTGCATCTGATCCTAATGGCTACCTCTTCTCACTGAGGGTGGAGATTGCTAAAGAGTTCATCCACGGAAGGACCAATTTACGGAATCTGTCGAATATATGGACTCTTTCTTTCCGTCTTTCTTGAATGGGAGTCTCACTCTGTCACCCAGGCTGGAGTGTAGTGGCACGCTCACAGCCACCACAGCCTCGACCCTCTGGGCTCAGGCAATCCTTCCGTCTCAGCCTCCCAGGCAGCTGGAACTACAGGCATGCACTACCACATCTAGCTAATTTTTCTTGCCCAGGCTTCTCTCGAACCCCTGAGCTCAGGCAATCCTCTCACCTTGGCTTCCCAAAGTGCTGGGATGACAGGTGTGAACCACCTTGCCTGGCCTATATGGACTTTTTCTTAAGAGTCTGTGTTTTATTAGTAAACTTTACAGAATGTCATAGTAGATGGATTACCAGGACTCATTCTGTCCCCAGCCTCCCCCTCCTTTTCCCCAAGTCTTCCCTGTCTCTGCCCCTTGATCTCTTCTCTGAGAATGGCTGTCCCTCTGACAAATTCACAATCAATGTCTGGCAAGCTGGTAAGCCACAGAGCCTGCCTTTAAACCCTAGCCGCCTTACATGTGCCCTTTCCACCACCGCCACCCAAACTGTACACAAACAAAGGGCCTGGGGCCACCTACCGAGGTCTCCATGCAGAGGCAGAGGGGCTGGGCGGCAGGTGGTGTGGGGAACTTCCGGATGCAGGGGAGCTCTCGGTCCAGCGCCTCGTATTCTGCAATGACCTGCCGCAGGTACTGCTTCCTGGGGAGAGATCAAGCCGGCGGGGACCTCTGGTGGCTGCCGTCAGTCACAACTGGGAGCGCCGAGGTCAGGGGACCGGGGTCACTCACGAGGATTTGACGGGCCTGCCCAGGGTCCGAGCCTGTGTCTCCTCGGGGGTCTCCAGGTCCACAAGGAGGACTCCTGCGGACAGAGAACGCAGCAAAACCGCCCTGAGCCCTCCCCCGCCATGATTCTGCCCGGACACCAGCAGGGGCTGCCCCTGCCACCCCCAGAAGAGCTGGACATGCAGCTGTTGTCTCTTAGCTCCAAAGGCCACCCTACTTCGCGGGCTCTGTGAGCCTGTGCTGGGACCCTGCTAACCACATTTGGGCTTTGGCAGCTGGGTTCCTGTTAGGCTCTGCCTGCAGGGGGCGCCAGAGGGAGCCTGCAAGGCAGGAGGAAGCAAAAGAGCTTTTTTTTTTTTGAGTTGGAGTCTCACCCTGTTACGGAGGCTGGAAGCAGTGGCACGCTCATGGCCGGCCACTCCAGCATCGACCTGCTGGGCTCCGGCAATCTTTCTGCCTCAGCCTTCTAAGTAGCTTGAACCACGGGTGTGTGCCACCATGCCCGGCTTTTTGTTTTTGATTTATTGTAGAGACAGTGTCTCACCATGTTGCCCACGCTCACAGCCACTGCAGCCTTAACCCTGCTGGGCTCAGGCGATCCTTCCGCCTCAGCCCTCCAAGTAGCTACAGGCGAGCGCCACCACACCCAGCTCACACCTGCTCCTTTTTGCTTGTCTTCCAGTGACCCCAGCCAGGTTTCTTCACAGCAGCAGCATGGCTTCACTCCAGTGACAACATTTCACCCCGTGTGCAGTTTTTCCAACCTCCTGCTAGAAACTCGGCTGATGACATTTCTCAAACCTGGTTCCTTCCTGACAGCCTCACTGGTCTCTCTCTTATGGCTGACCGCTGGTTGTTCCATGAGCTATCTTTTCTTGTCTCGACAACCTTAGAGCTTCACCCAATACACACACACACACACAGCCTCTCTTGCAGCTAGGTGTGGTCACGTGACCAAGCTCTTGCCAGCAGAGTGTCGGCAGAAGTGAAAGATGCAACTTTGGAGTCATTCACTTAAAAGAAAGTTGCCTCTGCCTGGCGTGGTGGCTCACGTCTGCAATCCCAGCACTTTGGGAGGTGGAGGCAAGAGGATGGCCTGAGTCCAGGGGTTCGAGACCAGCCTGGGCAACTTGATGAGACCTTGTCTCTACAATAAATCAAAAAATTAGCCGGGCATGGTGGTGCATGCCTGTGGTTCCAACTACTTGGAAGGATGAAGTGGAAGGATCACTTGAGCCCAGTAGGTCAAGGCTGCAGTGGCCATGAGTGTGCCACTGCACTCCAGCCTAGGTGACAGAGTGAGGTTCCAACTCAAAACAAAACAAAACAAAACAAAAAAAACATAGGCTGGGCATAGTGTCTCAAGCCTGTAATCCCAGCACTTTGGGAGACCGAGGCGAGAGGATTGCCTGACCCCGCAGGTTCGAGACCAGCCTGGACAACATAGTGAGACCTCGTCTCAACAATAAAATTTAAAAATGAGCCATGCATGCTAGCGTGTGCCTGTAGTTCTGGTTACTTGAAGGCTGAGGAGGAAGGATCGCCTGAGCCCAGCAGATCAAGGCTGCAGTAGCTGTGAGTATGCCACTGCACTCCAGTCTGGGCAACAGAGTGAGACTCCAACTCAAAAAAAAAAAAAGTATCCTCAGGCACGGGCTTACCCTGCCTCCTGCCAGCAGCCCATCCAGAGCAAACCCTCTCGAAAACCACCCAATAGCCCAACTCTTGCAACAAGTCCTTGCTAACACCCCTTTACTGAAATGCTCCCACCCGGGAGTCTTCCTCATGATGCCAAGACAGCAAACTCAGCTTTGTTCAACTCTAGGCAGTGGTGTGCTGGTCTAACAATGGGCTCTCTCTCTCCCTTACACACACACACACACACACACACACACACACACACACACAGCATTTGCCAATTCTCATGGTGTTAATACTCCCCCCACTATGGCCAATTTCATGCTACCAACTGTTGTTAGCAACCGGCTCACAAAATTCAACCCTGGGCTCCCTTGAGCCATTGCAGACTGGCTTGAGCACAGCCAAGGGTGTGCCCCAGCGGTCTTTGACTTCAGGGTGTGGACACATCTTGGCTTGTCCCATGGTTAGTTTGTGGCTCTGTTCCCTGTCCTCCCCACCTCCCACCTGTTTCCTCAGGGCAGCTGGGGTGAGTCTTCCAGCTCAGCATCCAGTGCTCACAAGCCAGAGGCTTCCTCTTACTTCAGGACAAAGTCCTGGCTCCTGTGGAGACTTTCACCTCGACATGCAGTCAGGGGACCAGTCTTGCTTGACACAGCATTTCAGGACCCACCCCAGACTTCCTGAATTTGAATCTGCACTTTATTTCTTAATTACATTTTTGAGTTGGAGTCTCACTCTGTCTCCCAGGCTGGAGTGCAGTGGCACGAGCATGGCTTACTGCAGCCTTGACCTCCTGGACTCAGGTGATTCTTCCGCCTCAGCCTCCCAAGTAGCTGGGATACGGGTTTGTGCCACCACATCCTTCTCATGTTGGTTCTGACATGAGAAGACACCTCCCTCCAATCCTAGTCAGAAACAGGCTGAGGGTCATTCCTTCTCCCTCTCTCCCTTGTAGAGACAAGTTCTCACTGTGTTGCCCAGGCTGGTCTTAAACTCCTGGGCTCAAGTGATCCTCCCACCTCAGCCTCCCAAAGTGCTGGAATTACAGGTGTGAGCCACCATGCCCAGCCAAATCTGCATTTTAACAGGATCCCTGTTGAGAGGCATCTACCTTAGTCATCCTGGCCTCCCTCCATCCCTCAAACATAGTCGTCTCCTCCCAAATCTGTCCACTTAACAATAATAGCAACAACTGTGTGCTTATGGTTCCTTTTATATGCCAAGCACTTTTAAAAATACTTTCCACTGTATCCTCATGACAACCTTCTGAGGTAGTGTTGTTTGAAAAATGATGAAACGGAAGCATAGAGAGGTTGTGTGACTTGTCCAAGGTCACACGGCAAAATGATAGATTCAGGATAGAAATGTAAGCACCTGAATCCGGAGTGTGTGTTCTCCGTCTCCCCAGGCCGCTTCCTCTCCCCCAATCCTCCCCTGAGACAACAGTCTCCTGACTCCTCTCCCTCTCCAGTCATCCCATCAGGGTAGTATTTTGAAACACAGATCTAGGACAGGTACAGTGACTCATGCCTGTAATCCCAGCACTTTGGGAGGCCAAGGTGAGAGGACTGCCTCAGCCCAGGGGTTTGAGACCAGCCTGAACAATCTGGTGAGACCTTGTTTCTACAATAAATCAAAAAATTAGCCATGGTGGCGCATGCCGCTACTTGGAAGGCTGAAGGCAGAAGGACAGTCTGAGCCCAGCAGATCAAGGCTGCAGTGGCCGTGAGCATGCCACTGCCCTCCAGCCTAGGAAACAGAGTGAGACTTTGTCTCTAAAAAAAAAAAAAG